TATATATATATATATGCTATCAGGTGAAACATAAGACGGCCTTTATGTAGCACATTCAGTTGTAAAGTGTCATAAACCAAAGATTCGGCCGGGATTGACGTAATTCTTCTATTAAGACCAAATTACTGAGCTGTTTCAGTAAATCTCTGAAAATGAGGAGCATGGAATATAATTATCAGCTGACATTCTGTTGGCCAGGAACAGAGTCTAAGGATTTTTTTCTCGGTTCTATCTTTCTCAGTCATGCTAGCGGCGTGATACCGATATGTTCACTGTCCTCAACCGACTGCTTAGGTTTACTACTACAACAATGAGGTCTAAATAAAATTTCAACCCTGTTTTCTGCTTCAAACACCATCTAAGCGAGACTACGTGGTACGGTACACATGTATTCTGTCAAAACTCATAACAGTAATCCCTGATTGTCTCTTAACTTTGCGGTTATGAAAAGGACCTCCTAAGTATATTTTCAAACCCAGCTTACTGCAATTAAGATGTAATAGTTAGAGCGAAACAGAAATGCATTTATATATTCTTTGGATTTCGCCAAAGGCTAAAACGTAGAGTCGTCCCTTCTTTCTCTTCATGACCGCTTTTTATCATACTGCTAGAAGCTGGAACGGTGGCGGGAGGAATACGAGTACGGGTTCCGGATGGAAATGCATGACGTTGGAATTAGTCATGAATTCAACAACATCCGGGTACAAGAACTTATCTCGTAAGTTTTGACGAACCTTGCTCATATCGAAATCGATCGGATTCATACAGTTCATTCGTAGGTCATGTTGTCACTGAAGATCTGTCACTGGAAGAAGTGTGACAGCATTGCTGCTAAAGAACAATGCCATTAGGAACCAACTTCCGAGCTGCTGGCAAAATGTAGAGGTCTTTGGAAACACCCCAACAGTCATACACAACGATTTCTACTTCTGCTTTATTTGCAAATTTAAGAATCTACCAGTTCGAGTGACCAGTTACCGAATTGTTGTTGAAAGGTTTTCATTCATGTCCATCAATATTTCTTTGAGTCCCGGATTTGCTCTTGAATGCAGTAGTATCTGCAGCCGCAGAAACACGTGACTGTGCTTTCTTTTATTCTGGATAGATATTTTTAAGTGAAGCCTTTCGTGAAGCCTTTCTCATTATTCTTCTGTCCATGAGCAAATATATCTTGATAGTTTTGTTCCTGATAAAAAAATCTAGCTTCATTGGGTAGAAGCAAAATAGATAGGCGGAATTTCAGTAGCCCGAATTGTGATCCCGTACTACTGGCTGTTGATAAAGTCTGGGATGACTGGTTGCTTCTGATGCATGATTCCTCATTAGGCATTAGGCAGAACTCTTAGCCGACGTAACGAATTAATGGTCTCGGTTCCAGCCAGTTGATTTTCAAGTTGAACGTGTTATTTATTTCTTTTTCAAAGTGACCCCTTGGTACTTCAGCTAGCCCGATATATAATCTTCCCACAGTAGGCTAAAGTGCCCAATTTCTCAACAACAAAAGCCGACAGTTCGATCAAATACGTTGTCAAAGCTCATCGATGTTCACCGCAACAGTCTGTTGACCTTTCTTTTTGGCTGTAGTCAGTTAGTTCAACTGACCGCCCCCGCATTCTTCCACCATCCATCTTACCCTACCTACAGGATGAAGTTATACATAAGTCTTTTCGCTCGCTACAGTTGACACACTACTTAGCTCTTACTTTCCATTTAACTGGACATAATCCAAGAGAAACGAGACCGGCCCTCATCTGATCGAGAGGTGCGATACACACATTGTCTCCCAGGCTAAGTGAAAAAAAGTTGGAACTGTTCAAATCTTAGTATGCTTCGTCCTTGGCTCTTCAGAATCACCGTGCTTTGTCTGCTATATGACACGCAAGCGCATGATATTACACTGAAAGCCCAATTTTTATGTAACTCGAAGCTTTTTAAGAGTGTGCCCAAATACGCTAGTCCATTTTTTGTGGTGGGATTCACGGGTGCATCTCCATTGGCGAGAAGCACACACGGACATTCACGTGAATGGTTTTCCAAGCTGGTGCCTAATAACCATGTTGTTTTGTTCCATACACCGTTCAGCTGCCTCGATTGAGCTGGTTCGCCCACCAATCACTGGGTCGATAGCAGCGTGGTATGTATTCATGGTGCGACAAGCTGGCCCAACCAGACAACTGGCTTCCCTTCAACCGACTGCTTGGTTTGCACAATGATTTGCGATTTGCCTCTACAGCCTCGTACGCATCGATTGTTACACAAACCGCTTCAGTCCAGTGATTTTCTTCCACATGACACCGAGCAGTGCATTAAGTCCGATCGTTCCTACAATTAAATAATCTAAATAATTCTGCCTCCAGGTTCGACATGCGCTTCACACCTGCAAAATGTAAAGTGCTACTGTAAGACTGGATGGGCTCGAACCCTAGCCCTACGCTTACGGATGAACCGATTGAGGTAGTAGACAAATTTGTTTACCTGGGCAGCTGTATCAGTCCCGGTGGTCTGGCGAAAGATGATATTTCCATCCGGATTGCGAAGGCTGGAACAGCTTTTGTGAACCTACGTCACCTGTGTCGTAAGCGTGACATCAGCTTCTGTGTCAAGGGTCGAGTTTACAATGTTGCGGTGCGCTGCATATTACTATGCGGGTCAGAAAATTGGCCGCTGCGCGCTGAGGACGTCAAAATTCTTACAGTGTTTGACCATCGATGTCTTCGGAGCATTGCCCGAATCTGGTGGGAACACCGGATCAGCAATGCTGAAGTACGTCGAATGGTATTCGGGAGAATCAACTCACTCTCGATAGATGAAGTGATCACACTGCGTAGGTTGCGCTGGCCTGGCCATGTGCTGCGTATGCCAGTCGACCGACTCTCTCAGAGGGTTCTTTTCGCACAACCACGTGAAGGGTGGAAGAGAGCCAGAGGCGGTCAGACAATGACTTGGCAGCGAAATGTGAAGGCCATTACCAACAAACTCACCTGCGCTGGTCATTGCAGTCTTCCTGGATGGGGACTCTGAGACGGTCCATATAAATGATTAGAGACATTGTCAGACATGGCTCAGTCGCGCTCTAAATGGCGCTCATGCATCCAATCTATTGCCTTTAATGCATAGCTCCTTTCCCAATCCCCCCACTTGACAGCCCACTGACAATGCTGTATTTACGCACTAATTTATCAACTCCCGCCTCCAATGAGCAGGTACCTACCCCCCCCCCGAATCATCGGTGAACGAAACTGCGGCAGCTACAACCACTGTACGACGAGTACGCGGGTCTTACAGCTGACAGTGATGATGATGATGATGACAATTATTCACTTTGAGTGCATCCATTCCATCTATTAGAGGTGGATTACTGTGGAGATTTTGGTAAATCGTGAGACTCTTCTTGAAACTACTTCACACCTCAAAGTTAGTAGCCAGATAAATCTATGACCAGTTGTGTGAAATGTTATCATACCAGTTGTGCATATGATCCCCTGTCCATCTCAGGTTTGCTTATGAAAAATGGAACATCATTGTGGTCGCAGTACGTCGTTCCGATCCCCCCGAAATGGTTTTGATTCCATCTGAAGTCACCTGTAGCATTGATTTTAACACCATGCGCGCCATCGTGATTGCGAAGAATTATCCTGAGGCCCTTCAGTGAGTTCTTGTTAAATCCCTTACCTATTTCTTCATTGCATACCTCACATTCGGAATCAGTAGAAGTATAATAACTCTTTACTTCATGTATGACAGCGTCCGTTCTTCTCGGGACGTGAAAACTCGCCCCTAAAATTACATAAGATAAGTGCTGCAATTAAAAGGTTTTCTTTTTGGATGAGTGGGTTGCTTCGCGAAGATAAAATTTATTCTGAAGAATCTTTGTCGATGCTACTGTTTCATTAACCCAATAACTACATTTGATTGGTCTTATCAGTCTGCGTACTTCTGTTTTCTCATAAAAGTAGACGTTTTGTTTTGCGTCAGACTTCAGAATTATTGCACGTCCTGCTTTGCTCACGAACTTGGACGCCAGTGTGATTGTCGTAAACGAAAGAATGAACGACGTCATAAAGTGACTATCGAAAGAGGTAAGTAAACATCATTTCTTATACGTTGTACTACACTATGCACACGCTTATAGTATGCGCCCAGGAATTTATCAGCATAGAGAGAAACATTAGCTAATTTAACTACCGTTTGACTTAATGTAAACTATAGGATTAGTTGAACGTCATTTGCCATGTCCACCTACGTAGTACTGCCAAGGATCACGACCAAGGATTTTGCAGGAAGATTAAAGCTATCGGAGTACATGCAGTTAGTATTTGCTAAGCAGTAGGTGCAGACGAATAAGGACACTAGCTGTTGTATTGAGAACTGATTCTAAGAACAAATTGGTTAATAAACATCATAAATTAAGCCGAACATAGCGCAATCGGTATGGGTGAAATAAGGAACAGGGCTTTCTTAAAGTACCAGCGAGTAAGCACCGTATGCCGTATGCGGACTCAACAGCACGGAAAACAGTTAGTACGTTTAGGAAAGTAAGGAAACTGTCTGGAAAACAGTTATCAAGTGAATTTGGTACAAATTTAACATACCTGCAGTGCTTAGCTGACGGCGCAACTCAGCAGCACGGAATGCTAACTTAGGCCGGTTTAAAACAAAATCTCAACAAAGAATGTCAGATAAGATGCAATATAAAAGTAATACAAAGAAACAGGATTGGCGGAGTAGTCGAGTTGGTGCAGGATATAGTGAACTCGTTTCACTTCCGAGTGGTTCAGAGTTCGATCTCCAATCCATCTGGCTTTCCATTAGACCAGACACTTACCAGGAGGTGAAGGTGGTATGAAATTGCGAGCAGATACAGATAGGCAACATAAATCTTGATATTAGTAACTAGAAGGTAAGTAGGCTTTAGTGGGAGCAAGAACCAGGGAACGAGTAGCAAGGAAGCAAGACGGCGTATTGTTGAACCAGCCTAAGTCAAGCTATCAATGAGTAGTCAGAACAAGCAAGAAGAACAACTGCTGATCGCTGTGGATTCATAAGAGTTTCCTTCAGCCTCATGTTTTGCCTCGACACAAACTGCAAAATGCACCCATTCGCATAGCATTTCGATTTCCAGGTTCGCATGATTATATCATCGACTAAATAGGGTTGTAGTTCACCGCGACAAGTAAAGGTGGACCATCGGGTTGATAAATGATTGTGAATCTGTGTGAATTGCTGCGATTGTCAATAAGCTTGAAACGCACATAGTTGATGCTGGAGCAAAGGTGATTGTAGCCCTCACTTTAATTTCCCTTGTTAATCAAAATCACGCATATTTATCCGTGTTATGTGGACATTCCTCAGTCATTTCCACCTGACATTCCAACAGATTTGGCTTTGTATGAGCAAATTGGAGAATCGCGAAAAGCCGAAATGTCATGGTAAGCTATCTGGCTATTTATTCCGTTTCACTTGGTGAACACGCCAATCACGGTAGTATCAGTCTGAAACCGCCCAGCATGCCTCCACTCGGCCAAGCTTGCGCAGCGTCATATTTTGGCGGTTTTTTATTGATCGGTTGAGAACTTCTGTACGCTTCGCGAATGACGTGCGTATTGCTGTTTTCAAATTTCATCTCTTCAGTTTCAGGTCTAAGACCCTCATAATCTGAACTTTGCCAACCATTTATTTGGGACTCCACACTGGAAAGATTATTCTGTTCTGTAGGTGCAACCACACTATTTTAACCTGTGGCCAGTATTAGAGAAAACACGAGACTGGAATTAGGACACTTGAAACAGAGGAAGTTGAATACCACAAGCTCATTTTTCTACAAATTACAAAGTAACGCCGAGCAACACCGTATTGCTAATATGGCGGTGATAATGTGGCGTATATTGATACACGCTTGCAGTACTGTGGATAAGTAAACCGCAAAGTATAGAAGTTTATTTTCAGGCCGTAATAATGTTAGTTGGGAGTGCCGGCTTAGCTGAGAAGAAACTTCAAGTTTCGAGATTTTTCACAGCAATTCCGATACAAATTGTTCTTGGGCCATTTCTGAAAATAATCCATCCAAATCCATGTAGCCAAACTCGACCGAAAAGCATGTAGCTGTTGTCAGACTCTTTTTCCTTTAAACGTAGAGATTTGTTTGCTGTAAACGTACCCTTCATTAGGTTCTCTTTAGCAGTCGAACAGAACGACAAAAATGTAGAAACGACACGTCAGTGATGTGGACGGCATTAAGCCTTGCATCACTCTTGCCTGCAGTACGCCGAAGAATGAGGTTAAAGACGACAAGCTAGTTGTCAGGAAATGATGACATGCAGACGTGCAGTCCAAGCAGAATTTCGTGCTGTGCCATTTTACATCCACGACAGTTGTGCTTCCGTACTACTTTCAGCGTCTCTTTGCCTGGATTGTACAATGAAGTTACCTGAATCTTGCAGGACGGTGTCACTTTACTTCCTGAAGACCGTCCCAAATGGAAGCAACAGATCCGACGGTCGTTGGCTTCTTCACTGAGCTGGACAATTCAGTGGTTGCAAACGTTTCATCATCGATCGAGGCGACCTTGTCAGTGTGTTGTGAGTGGAACTGCATTCAGGTTGGAAGTGGACCGGAGATTGGATTGCTGCCCAACCTCAACGCAGCGACGACGTCAACTCGACTGGTGATAAAACGTTTTCAACGGAATTGTTCCGCTCAGCGGATGAACCAACGACCATCACTACAACATGAGCTACCAATGTTCTCTTGCAAAGCAGCTGATTTTAGTTGTGATCAGACATTTTTAAATCATGGGATTCTGGGGTCCGAAGGTTTCATGGTGCTTAGATAAACGAACAAACGATCACTACATATCATTAATCTCGTTTTTAGGCCTTCTATATCAAGGGAAAATTCCAAGTTTCTGCTGGCTCGCCAAATCCAACAGACCTCCGTAGGAGTTTGCCTGCGGTTATCAATACCCTCTTCAGAATCCACTGATTCCATTTTAAGGTTGGATGCCAAATTATTCTGGGCATTTTTTCGCAGGTTCACCAAAACATCATTGATTAGAGAGGAATTTTTTTCGTAGGCCCACGAGTAATGGAGTTTATACCACCATATCAGCCGTAAGCCTGTAACTCACGTAGGTAATACGCCAGTCCAAAAGCCAGATCATATCTGGAAGTTTCACCATTAACTGATTAAGGACACTGTTTTGGCTACTTACGACCATGTTTACATTCTAATTGGAAGTCCGAGTCTTTAATTTATCACAGTATTTAAACCTGATACTTCTGTGTAAAGCAACTTTTAGCCGGAATTTTGATATTTGTATTTTGATTACATAAGGGCCTCTCTCATGATTATCATGCGTCTTAAACATTCTTTGTTACCGTGATTACAAATAAGTTAACATATTTGGTTTTTAAAAACATGCACTTATGTTATAAGTTGTCAGTTTCTAAGAGGGGGATTCAACGTAGCCACCCAGTCTTAAACATGAATGTCTTTTTCAAGAACAGTTTATTTATCTCCCTTCCAGGGAAAAATACGGATTCATCAATTCGGAATTTAACCTAAGGGATCTACCGCCTGCCTATAGACATTCCATATCGACGTCAGCTCCCATGCCCTCGAAGACGAAGACCGTGTTGTACAACATGCTGAACGGTGGACCGCCCACCGATCGCACAACTTTGCGGCGCGCATTGACCATACGATCTCAAACACCTCAAAAACTAGTCCAGCGACACAGCTCACGGCGAAACAAAGGGACAAAGGAACAGAGATCCAACATGGTTGACAGAACCGGTTCATTTCACTGGGTGCACGATGTCTCGATTGCGAAAGCAAAACTGGTAAGCGTCGTTCGTTTGTTCGCGTGCTCCCTGTCCTAAACGAAAAAGTACTTTTTCTGAATACCTCGTAGTCTGCCACATGTTGCAGCTTTCTGAGACGTAAGCATTTATTTGCGGTCAAACCTTATATGGTCCGATCCAGGCCAACGATTTTCCCTAAAATGCCGTAGTCTGCGCATGCCAAAATATCTCACACATATGTCCGATTTTTCTGGAACAGGTCACACTGATGCCCGACCCAGGAAGATTCTCGTTTATCTATACACAACGTTGGGTAGCAGCTGGACGCTGAATTCCAGCCCTTTTGGCCCGTAGATTTCCTATTGCTTCACAGGGCCACGTGGAGTACCGGCATGTGTTAATCTGAGTTATTATTTAACTTGCTGGTCGCGCTTACTAAATGGTCGGTGGATTTACGTGTATACAGTCCTATACGACGGCATCAGTGCTGCCTGTCGTTAAATGGGCAAGATAAGGTCGAATTGATAAAAACGTGGCACTACAGTAATAAGCTAAACAGAGGAGACCATTGAACTCAGTCTTCCGAATGTAAAGCACACTACTGCGCTGTATTTGTGAAGGAGCCCGAACTAACAACATTCAAGTACTATGCTGCGTCATTTTGGACCCAATAACCTACGTATGCCTGACTCTGGTACGCCTTCTGAGTGGTCCCTAGTCCATCCATATGCCTCATGGCTTTAACCCTCCCTACCAAACATAATCCATCGGTATTGCGTGCCTTTTATCCTGACTTCCCTTTTTGTCTCCACCCTTATTCCCGGATCAGACGTGCAAAAGTGCCTTGATACTGTTTAACAACAGTGTTAAACAGTGTAACAGTGTTAGATTTCTATGTTTTGGACTTCACTGACCTGATGCAGCAGTCGAAACGAATGCCAGTCTTGTGATGCTCCACTTCTTGGTACAACCCTGATGTTCTCCTATAACCGCCAACGATCCATATAAATTGAGTTTGGTAATGCTCTACTCAAACCCAAAAATTAGTTAGATGAACAAAAAAACGGGGAGGACCAACAATGTCAGCTTGTTAAGTAAAATGGTTACAATAGGTATATATGTGAACAAGAGACATACCGTATTGCAGGTGCAGGCTGATAACTCCTGTTTCAAGTCCGGACGCAGGTTTCGTGTCATCTTCGCTGTTGTAGCAGCCACACGTACTTCCTGAATATCCGTGTTTGAGGCGCCGTAAGTCCTGAGCGGCTATGCTCCGAGTTGGACGACGTATGCAGCTCTGTTGGGTTGTGTTGTGTTACTGTGCTGTTACCCTATACGCAGTAACGCTTGCGTGTGTGTGGGTGTCAGCACATGACTTGCTGCTACCTTGTCAGAGGGTAGACAGTCGATGTCAGATGAGCCACCCTTGTGTCGTGATTTATACGTGGAGGGCAAGGAGGCGAGTATTGGGATCAGGGGCTTGACTGTGAGCTGTGTAGTCAAGTTGGTCACTACTCTGTGGCGTGATTTGTGAGTGTAAGAAAAAGGACAAATCTCGTGCTCTAGCGAGTGGCGGTGAACTGTGCGGTNTGACTTGCTGCTACCTTGTCAGAGGGTAGACAGTCGATGTCAGATGAGCCACCCTTGTGTCGTGATTTATACGTGTAGGGAAAGGAGGCGAGTATTGGGATCAGGGGCTTGACTGTGAGCTGTGTAGTCAAGTTGGTCACTACTCTGTGGCGTGATTTGTGAGTGTAAGAAAAAGGACAAATCTCGTGCTCTAGCGAGTGGCGGTGAACTGTGCGGTCATGTGTGTGGTGAGGGGATGGCTACAAGTCAAACTCATTGACCTGACGGCAAAACCCATTTCGCCTTGTTTAGTCTTCTCGTGAGATTCGCACTCATCCAAAACTATTTCCCGAAGTAAATAAAACGCTTCCAAGGAAGGTTATTCATGGCTGCGCTGTTTGATCGACTTACTGATCCAAGGGTTTATATAGAGAGGCTTCAGAAACCGGTGATGGTCAGAAGTCAAAATTTAACAAAATGACTAGAAACATTGGGCATCTGGTCTTTCAGCTATTGATAATCACTAAAGAGATAAGCAACCTTACAAAATAATTAAGCTTCCGCTTGCAGTCATATTTGAATGAATCACGGGCTAATCTACCTTCCATAAACATAATCAACCTTGCACATGTTGAGCAAGCCAAACATGGCATGACTGACGCGGATAGGCTCCTTTAATGATCAACACAGTAGTTCATTTAATATCAACCCGTTTCGGCGGAAAGCCTGAGAATGTGAATATATCTTGTTGGGATCGGTTAGACACGCCACGATGTGATCCTGAGAATGTGTTGCTGCACACCACCCAAAGGACACACCCAACCCTGAGGGCGGTTTTGGGGCCAGTCAACTTGTTTCAGAATGTCTACGCGAGTCTCTCGCTACACACTCTGCCAGCATACTCACCTACGACAGTTCCATACAGAGTGTTTGGTTGGCAATTCTAAAATCTACTTAGGTCATCGTCACAGTGGGCATCCGAGTGGTGGGATTCACGACGAAAGATGAAATTTGACATCAACAAACAAGTCCACTTTTCCTATCCTCTCGTAAACATTCCGAATGCAGTGGACAAATCAGATATTTGCACTCATTCTGTTCAACGATTTATTTGCCAAAATACCATTGATCATAAAATGCCTCGTTCGTTTTTACTGGCCAACATATGTCCCGAAAATAGGATTTTAGTTTAATGTTACTCCCTATGCAACTTTTAGATGACAAGCAGTTCCTAATTGCAAAGGGTTTCAAAACGCCGAGTTAGCTGCCTGTATTATCAAGCTCAATACTTCCTTAACGTCATTATATGAAGGTGAAATGGTTCAAGTGGTTAGTGCGCAAATTTACTGACCGTGATTTGAACCCGACCTTTGCCTCTCGACTTCCTTTGTCTAGGCTTGGGCGACCCTCGTACAACCTTCGGGTGGCATGGCAGTTTGGCACTGAAAGGGTGCTACAGATGAACGACTAACCACCGTGACGACTTCTCGAAGTCATTATCTCCTTCCTCTCCTTCACGAGAAGCATTTTTTTCACATAAAACGGTGCTGATCACTTTTTGCGTCCAGTTCTGAAAGTTAGGCGATAATTTGCTCATTCTACTCAAACCCATTGTATTGTTATCACGGTTAGCCTCTAGACGAAATAACGTGTCAGATCCGGTATGTTCTGAGCATTTTCTACTTACGTCCTCAAGCGACATAAAAACCCTTATCCAAAGATCACTCATTATCGTATCTGCATGAACGGTGTTCCAGTTTTGTCGAATAAGTCATATTGCCGGTAGCATATTAATGTGGCGAAACAAATGCTCATCAACACTGTTTTCTATGTGGTTGATTACAAGGTCAAGCAGAATTTGTCGACACTTGGGTTTGAAGGACCAGACCTCAGCTTGGTCCCCGTGACCGGACGATGGAAGTGCAAGCAAGAATCTTAACCGTACATCGGAATATTCATTCTGCATCCGCTGCGATGGAGCACTGTCAACGAATATGAGTATATGTCTTTTTTCGAACGCCTAACAGCCAACCCCAAACACAATATGAATAATTTCATCTACGGGAAGATATATGTTAACTCAAAACTCTTCACACATCTTTGGGATTTATAAGGGTCTGTTGAAATTGGTTTAGTTTTTCTCCCTTCAGACTTTCAGAGGGTGGCAGAGTAAGTCGACTTTTGGGTGCTTAGTTCCCGTGGGCGGCCCAGTGCCCTCCTTCCAACGTCTTAGGAGGTAAAGAAGAATAAAATACCCGAGTTTTATCGACATTGAATACATCTATTTGACCAAAGTTGTCGAATACCTTTACAGTCCTGTGTAACTCATCAACAGCATTTTCTGACATGTGCTTCTGTTCTACACGAATCTGATCACAAATTGCAATACTAACATTGATAACAAACGCCTACCCTGTAAGTTCCCGGGTGGTATCCTTCCCTGCAACATCGACAACATCTTTTTGATGTTTTCAAGTGTTGCGATTCCCATCTCTTGCACGAAACGTTCTATGATAAGAATCTCACCATAAGTTTCCGTCATAGCTGGAGACTACTGAAAAGTGGCAAGGTTCCTCCCTTGGGAATTTTGGCCGATTTAGATATAGGACTGGCTCGTCAGCACTTGCCCTTATTGTGCTTCTGCGGTGTCCCAAATGGCTTTCTGATATACTTTCGCAGAGTGGACTGCTGAATCCTCAATGCCTTAGTAGAACTTTTGGCTTCTGGGTGACCGTCAGACGGTTTTCAATCGAACGTCAACAGCAGAAACCAAGTACAGTGAATAAAAACTGATCGGTTTATTGAGCCACAGTAGGTGTTATTTTAATTCGCTTGCGCTCAAGTCTCTCCCGGCTGAATGGTCGACCCACCCTGTTTACTGACTCGTAAAAACAGTTTCTTTTTACTTATCATCTTCTTAGCCTCTGCTTGTGCGAATGACATCTTGTGGGCAGTTCTTACCATTTTATGTATAATGTGGGGAGTTTTCAATTCAAAACATATTACTCCAGAAAGCTGTACGTCAACTTTAAGCTTCCTGTCTGAACCCGTACTCAAATATCACTAACGTCATGACTTCATAAGCGGGCAGTTAACGGAAGTAGAAGTGATGAATGTACTCAGATGATGAACACTTAATACAAGCCTCTGAGAATCAAACAGTGCTCAACTGTAACATCCTTTCAGTGCTTACCTGTGATGGCACTCGAAGTATGAGGGCTGAGATATCCACTGGTTGCCCAAGCCTAGACAAACGCAGCCGAGATGCTGAGGTTGGGTTTGAACCTCGGACCTTCTGGTCAGTAAGTTCGTACCTTGTGCAACGGTCCTTCATCATAACGAGATGCTGAGGTGGGGTTGAACCTCGGACCTTCTGGTCAGTAAGTTCGTACCTTGTGCAACGGTCCTTCATCATAACGATCTTCATATTTTGATAATGTCATAAAGCCGTTTTTAGACAAGGTTTACAACGCATTTCCTGGCATGTCGGCCTCCACCGATCAACACCATTTCAGCCAGTTTGAAGACATAAATTTACAGCCTGAAATAGGCAACAGACTTTCTTCCGCCGATTCGAGTTGATTTACAAAATCTGCTGCATTTCCTTGCATAGTCATTGTCTCCACCTTCCTAACCTAATTTTCATTGTCCGATTGACACATACGAAGAGGTGGTTGTAATATGAATATAAAAGAACGAAGTCACATTTGAAGCAGAAGATCATTCAAAGTTGGATGGGGAGTAGATGGAAACTCATGAACTGCGCTTACCCGATGAGTCCCCAAGAAAGGCGAAGCTAGCCGTAGGTTGACGAAGAGTTTTAGGCAAACTTGCAGCTAGTTTCCTTCATGCAAATACGCTTCAATGTCTCGACAACCGAGCGAAACACGAGACAGCCTTTGTGCGACAGATTCAGTTAAAGAATATCATAGACGAGAGATTTAGTTGAGTCTCTCGCAATGACCAAACTGATAAGCAAATGAGTGTATTTGTCGAGAATACTGCTTTATCTATACAAAGCCTCGTCCGACAAAACGAAAAGTCTTATTGCTTTATCGAGGTTTGGTTTTGCTAACCACCAATGGTTGTCACATTGATCATTCAAACGGTTCCAGAAAAGTCATCTAAACTGCCTTTCACAGTCTAGCGGAGACTGTAAATAGCTTTGCGTAGTAGGGAACTTGGATTTCATCTCAATGTGAACTTGTTCGGCCGTGAGTTTGGCATTTGTTTAGCTGTATTTTGCAATGTAAATTTGATTTTCTCATGTTGCTTATAACACTACTGAAAGAGATCTTTAAAACGTGCAGGTTATACTCGGTCTATGCGAAGAGACGTATGGTAAACCCAAGTGTATTAAGTGAGCTTTTGAAAGTTGGATCAATTTTGCACACAGGCATGTATTTCAAAAAATGAGTTAAAGGAGGGCTTGTTTGCATACACAAGGAATATGAAGCTATCCAAAGTCAAGATAAATGTAATCGAAGGCAATGCTTTTTCACCCATTCTATTCATTTTAAAGCATGAATTCAATGGTATTACGATGACAAGGAGAATGTGTGAAAACTAACCAGGAAGCATTTTCTAGAAGGATAACTTAGTAATAGGTGTTTGGTAGAGTTCTCCAAATTGGTATCGTGGAAATTTGCCGAGACTACTTGTTACCTCGTGTCCCTATTCTAGTTACGAAAAAGGTAAAAAAACAGAGTCGCAACACCTCTGTGGACCATTAACCTTTGAAACAGGTATCCATCATCTACGTATCCATCCTATCACCCGCAGTGTAGTGTTTGCCAAGTCGCACCTGTTACTATTTAGAGGATACGAACATTTTCCGTGTCAAAGCAATTTACCAATAATAGATATACACTGCAACAAGCGGTTAAATGCAAAAGTTCATGGCGTGAGAGGGCAACTTACGACGGAAAATTCTGTGGATAAGATGGTCATTCTGTAAGCAATTTCAATTCTTCAAGTTCAGGCATTGTTTTCCTCATTGGTCAGAATCAAATTAAAGTCTGCTGCTTAAAGACGGCATGAAAACCAAGCAGCTATATGATCGACAACTGCAACCTCGAGAAATCCAAGCAGTGAACGGGTAGAACATAAGTTTGACGGAAACTCGAGGGTGTGCCTAACTGTTGAGACCCAAGAAAGGCAAAATCGGTCGTTGGTTTGGAAGATCTTTCAGCAATCTTGTGAGCAGTTTTCTCTATGAGATTTAACCACGGTTATTCATTAGGTTTCGAGAAATACGCGTTGTATTGTCGATTGGATGGGGTCGAACTCATTGCTGTATGTTGTTTAATAAGTAGTAGCTACATTCAACCGACCAGTTAATCAAAAAAGCCTGAAGCCGATCAAGAAGGCGTCATTTCAGAGAAGTTTTAGAATCCGCCGACTGTTCCTCAAGCCATTCTGAAATGAAGACTGGTTATCACCGTATGCAGGAGGAAAACCCTAGTTCTGCAGAAACCTTCGGCCTGATCACAGTTCAAAACGTTCAATCCTCCAGGGTAATCACCAGGCTGCAGTTTACTTTATATATGCCGTTGTGGGAAAGACCAAGTTAGATTAGTGCTATGTCTACCAACTGCGCACCACACGATGTTATTTTTCTACTCATGTTCACTAAGGGATCGAGGCTGTTGCCCATAGCAGAATTCACGGGCGGAAGTAATTTCTTACATACTGGTTTAGCAACAGTGGCTAAGCAACTAGAGGTCTGTATATGCTTTGCTCGAGGGCAGATGTGATACCGCAAGTGAGCTTGTGCATCCGTGGTTAACCGTAAGAAGTGAGATAGACGAACAAACTCACAGACACTATGGAGAGTCGTAAAACGACTTAATTATGATGATACTTTGTTAGTATAATACAGCACTTCATCCGATCGACACCGTAAAGTTCAATCCGCTGGGTTTTTCGATATGATGCATTGTGGTTTAACTGGATGAACATGAAATGCACATTTTGAACAGGCATATGTCTCTCGCTGGAATTCTGAGTGGCGCCTGGTTATTGCAAGACGTGCATAAGTTGGCGCAAATAAGCGCATTACAAACCATGTTTTTTGAGAAGTTGAAATGCAGCTCTCATCGGGTCAATATCTATGCTGCTAGCAATGATGATTGCCCAGTGATGTGAACCTGCAAACTGACCACCGATCAGTCCAAATGGACTCGGTTCATCTGATATTTCCTCTTGACAAGCCTAACCATTGGTCTTGCTTACTTATTGCATTTCATCTGGTATCGTATTACCACAGACCACAAAACAGGCTGAGGGATACAATTTCAGTCACCATTTCCTCGTGTGTATTGTCGGCACACCTGCAACTGGTGCCCTTAACTTGGAAAATCTGATCATGCCATTTCGATTTCACTGGCGCGAAGTGCAAGATATTGTCATACTTGGAAACAGTCAGCTTATTGGACCATATGAATGGGCAAAGCTGAAAAATCTACCAAGAATCTTTCTCGTGAATGTGAGTTTGTACTTTGTCTCTTGTTCTCCCCCATTCTGTCAAGTTCTCGTATTGAGATGTTCTAGAAAGCACAAAGTGACCAACCTCACAGTAGCTTCGAGTTCTGGTGGATAAGAACAGGTTTCAAAGAACTTCTCAATCCAGATGGTAGAACAACTGTTTTTGTGATAAGATATACGATTAAAACACTTTGGTGAGGTTCACTTATCTGTCTGATGTGTAAGCTTAGAATGTTTCGATTTACTTAGTCTGGATTAAGCATAATTACGACTGATCTAGTTGAACCTGTCAGAAACGATGCTGGTCATATTGGAACGTGTTGGCTGCTTCCAAAACCGGTTTTCAGAATCCTGTTAGGTTCCACTGTATGGTTTCTAGTCATCTGTTCCTCCCGGTAGTTTCATGTGAACCCCGAATGAATGCTAGCATTTTGAATTACCGCGCATTGCAGGAGTTGATGCGAGTTGCCCCAGGCAGATATTCCCAATACTTTCAGCCATCAGTCATTATTACCATTCTCGTAAAGCAACTGTCTGGAATATCATTTTTCTATCCATAGAATTTTATGTTGATTGTTTGGTTGGATTGCTTTTTTCAAGATCTACAGTGCGAAAAATTTAGACAATACCACAACGGCTAAGGATAACGTCGGTTGAACTGGGTAGTTCTGCAACACCAAACGTTGTGCAGCTATGATGTCAAAATCATTCATGTCTGAGCCATGACTTCATTCTATACATTCTTCGAATGTTCTTAATCAATCCAACACAAAATCACAAAATCACAATAGGAAAGGAATGAGTAGTCAAATGGGGACTCACGAATGTGTAGATCCACTAGTCCACCACACCAATCCAAATGCAGTGACTGGCTGTGAGAGGAAATATTCAGTTGTCGAAATTTCCCACAGATGGTTGCGCGTGCGTGATATATTCCACCGTAGGAAAATTATTCACGGCTAAAAAATGTCACAGGGATTTATTGTGACGTTCAACAGTTGACACAAACACAGAGATTTAGTCCCACTGGTTCAGCAGTCAACGAACAGTTCAATGGAGCGTAAATACACTCGTTCAGGAAAAAGTCAGCAGGTCGCACCGGAAAATTGTGTATTCGTAACATTAAAACAAAAGTCCTGATACAATGTGAACGACAATTACAAGGTGTGGTTCAAGTTCAGGAAGAATAGTAAATGTGACAACGGATTATAGACACTACAAGTGAAACCAGTCGTGTTAGAAAGCTAAGAAACCGTCTACAGCGTTTTCATCCTAAAAGGTAATCGCCAGCTGTGCATCTTGCGAAACTCTTGGGACAGTCTCAGTTGAAAAATATATTATTCACCCGTAATGCACCGGGAAAATCGATGTGGTTGCGGTTATTGTTGCCACTGTCGTCCAAAGGTTCTGCTTGTCCAGTGTGGTATTGAGTAAGAGCCACCAACTTTGACACCAATTCCAAGATTATATGACACGAGTATCTTTATCTACTTTTTGTTAGAGGCAAAAGCGGTGGCCACAAGCTTATTTCTCATGTTTTCCTGATCCAATTATTGAAGGGATTGTCCTTGTGAACGTAAAACCCAGTAGATGCAAGTTGATTTAGCTTCCATGGTTGAGGGATCCTGATGGCATTTAGTTAGTTGGTCAGTTTTAATGTTTTTTTCGAACGCGGGTTCGTAGTAGTGTTAGTCCATTGTGGCATTTTCAATGGGGATTATTGACGTTGGCCAGTGGCAGAAATGTTGGCACTTCAGTGTCTACAAATTGTCATTTGTCTACGCAGTTTACTCGGAGGTCTATCACTAACATGTGGATTGAAATCATTCGTGTGTTGTACTGTTTACCTACGCCTTGTGTGGGCTAATCCACTCGTCAAACGCCAGCATCCTTTTTTCGTTTCAGGGAGATCCATGCAGCTTCACCGATTTGTATGCTGTACAACTGTGTCGATGTATGGCATGTGTGATTCTTGGTGATGTACAGGATGACTTGGATTCACAGTCCGATGACCTTTGTCTTCAAGATAGAAAAACTCTACTCTGTGCAATGAATATCCGTTCGCTACTTCAACGTGAACAGCAGTTAGTTCACTTCACTACCGAACTGCGTAAGTGCCGTATGATCAGCAGAAAGCACTGGGCTTGCACGATTCTATTATTCTGTGGTGGGTTCATTCCGCCACAACCTACACAGTAGGCAAGATGTACGTGTCATAAATCCCTACGATTTGAGTGATTCAGACCACTGATCGCATCACCGTTTTCCCCGGGATGCTGACAGCTGCAATGGTGTATAATTTTTACAGGACCTAAGAAGGAAACATGTCTCGGATTTATCTACCCGTCCAACCCTTTGACACTTCAATAACCTGCCCAACTTTCTTGGAAAAGGAAGTTCGTGAGGAGACTATTTTGCTCTTTGTAGGGTAACGGTTCAAAACTGCTGAATCCACAGCTATGTTTGCGAAAAAAAAACACCAAAAAGCGTTTAGCTGAATCTTTTTCCTAGTGCAAATCTCTCAACCTCTAAACACCAAGACGAGGTATTGTAAAGTAACTCTGGCTGCATCATGCACAGTCTTTAGCGCCCCGCTAGAGATGCGTTGGGTGCACCCAACTGCGCATTGATAACGTCTCATCGTATGCAAGCGATTCCCAAGCTCGGGATTAAGGTATCATACCAAGACAGCTAACCACTCGGATTTAAAAATAGGCGGCTTTCATACCAACCAAACATGCTTTAGGTGCCTGCAGCGTTATGATTCAGAGACTTCATTTCAAATTTCTTTACTATTCTTTCCAATAGGTTACGAAAAGAACGCGCATTTGTTCAGTTCAGTGGACACTCATGCAAATGACTACAAACTGCCCGTGTGGTTTAGTGAACCGTTCGCCAGAGGCTTCGTCTTCAGCAACACGCTTCTGTATAGTTGCCTAAGCTCTGTAAGTGGTTCATTCATACACGTATCCGTGTCTTTCGTGTAACGTTTAAGATACTATACTACCCATGACACCTGAGTCTGTACGATAGTTTTCAGTGTTTACATCACAATAGTCTGGCTTCCGCTGTCCAGGAATGTTTGAATAGTTCATCGTCGAGTGAAAAGCTTTTTTTCAAACTACTTTCAAATCCAACTTGCACACCTTTTACGACAGACGGTGTACCCTACCGAGGGTCCATAATGTAAGTAGCACAACAATTATGGGGTAAAACGGAGTCACGTTGAGATACTGTGTTGTATCTGCTGATTGGTCAATTTGTTGTACCTGACTGTTGATTCGCCAGTCTGTTGACCCCGTTCCAGTGCCTAGTGCCGGAAAAAGACTCGCCGAAGGGAACACAACAGTTTTATTCCGAACAATCGAGTGCGAGAGGGTGAGTGCGAAAACACAACGGCATCAAGCTATTTTATTAGAGGGACACTGTCTGAATTTGGTCCAACGCTGACTCACTGTCTGGGTTTGATACAAGGTTGTGACGCGCTTCATATTGAGGGGGCGTTGTCTCTCTGGTTAGCATCTAGTGGAGCTGAGGGTCACACTGAACTCCGAGCACTCAGTGGTTACTTTCAGGAATTTGACCTTCCTGATATACTGTATGAATAGAACTTTCAATGTCACACGCCATATATTCGAATGTGAATCTCCGAGATTTGTACAAACATATGGGAAGCTGCAGATGAGTGAACACGGGTACTGAATTCCAAAGATCACATGTTCTATCAACGCTGCCATATTCAGTTCACGCTATTTTTCGTTTGGAATCGCGGTATAGCCAGCTCCTCTACCCAAACAATTGATCTGGCTTCTGCAAGCGCATGAAAGCCGTTTCTCCGTCTGACTGTGGTGGAAATAGCTCACCACAAGAACCCACTTCATAGGACCTTCTCATTAGGTAATGTGTAGCAGCCTATCTCCTGAAATCTCTCCTTTTATCTCACTATTATGGTTTCTCCGGGCACGCATTATCATGGTGTGGGTCAAACACCTAGTAACTAAGCGACTGCACACCACATTGCATTCATTTTCTTTGCAGTATGTCAGCTTGAATTTCCACCAAGTACAAAGGACAGATGGTACTAAGGAGCTGTTGACCAATCTGGTGTTTAACACATTTGAGCCATCACGGTAGCCTTTCACCTCCAATCGCATCTAAGTGTGCGTGGTTTGAGTAATACGTCATTTGATGAAACTGGCTTTGGCGAATCATAATACGTATCAACTTCTTTGTAATTTCACCCGTTTTCAGTTGTTCTATAACGATGACGTCTTCCACTTCCTGAGAGTGCTTATATCTGGTCAGGCAGCCGACGCAATTGAAGCCTCCTTTGCTGTTGGAGCTGGTAAGATATTTGCCAACTTACTAAGAATGAGTAGCCAATGGTGTCACGAGGAAATATCCCATCATTAGTGGCTTCACAAATGCCAAACTAATATTCATAGTTCAAGTCTCAGATCCATTAAAAATGGTCATACTTTTATTACCGTTGGAGTGCGGGAACGTCCAGACGGCACGTACCGGAAAACTGTCCTCTCCTTAGAACGATCGCGTAAACGTACTGAGTACAGTGTACACAATACATGTGATCAAATAGGTTTCATGCGTGTCAGTTTTCACTGAGTTACGGACTTAACAGGAGTACAGCCCTGTTGTTAAGCTGAACCAACTTTACTAACTTCGACATCTAGATTTGTTAGCAACTGGTGTGCGTTGGTTGGTTAAATTACCGTAAAAATCTGTGTGGGAAGCCCGGTGAACTTCAGTTTATCCAGTTAGATTCCTGTCAATGCTTTGCCTCCACCGGTAAAATCCCTGCAACTGTCAGTCGATCTGTCGGTTGAGTCTTGCAATTGTCTGTGCGTTTTGTCAGCAATGCAGAGGAAAACACCAACGTAGGGTTGGGTTACGAAGCTCACCGCCAATGGTTGCACTTGAGTGACCAATATTTCAACAAATCACCATGCTCTAGCTGCCTGAACATAACTACAGCTTTTCACTCCAAATAATCGACCGGAATATCCGATCTCCCTACATCACGTCGGATGCGTGTAGCACATTAGTTGAGGCAGCGTCCTGGTTGCGACCTTCCTAGCATGAGCTGATGCAAGATTTCTCATTCTTGTTCACAACAAAAGCTACTCTCCATAGGTCACTTAAGTGAGTACGTTTATGGTGAGATCTAAGTGAATTCAATCAGGTGGCTGAAACCGCACAAAAATTACCGAAAATACAAAACAGAGCAGCGTCTTGGAAGCCCAGACAGCAGATGAAACGAAATTTGTTCACTGAAGTATTTCGGATTTTCGAAGGTAGTATCATTTGGACATCTAAAACACTACACAACCTTTGTCCCCAACAGGGCTGCAACCCGATTCGTCCGACGGAGCTTGTCGTATTAATGGAGTAAACGTGGCCCTCAGAAACTTTGACCAACCTCCGTTCAGTTACATGGCCCGAGAGCAGAGAAGAGTGAGTCCCACACCCAATTAAATCACCCTCCCCCCAAGCCACTAGCAGGTATCCGCAGATCAAGTCGGGCGGACAGTAGCTCTAAAACTGTTTTATATCATCATTGTGTTAACACTAGAATGCAGGAGCTTATTTTCATTACACTCTAGATTTCCTATTCCCGCACATTTTCGAATTTGAACGTCAAACGTTTTGGATCACAGACGTTTCCTGAAATCATGACCTTTGAAGGCTATCGAAAATTCACACGAATGTAGTTGGTTGACATCCGCTCCCAGATTCACCGGCAAACCGAACTACACCAACTGAACCCTGTAGATGTGAGTTAACTGTGCATCCTGTTCGGTTTGACCAACAACCGGTCGGACGCCGTGTATCCTGTGTGGAGCTTTGGTAACGGAGGGTGAAAAGGATGGGCAGTGTTGGAGACATGTGCGCGTCCAACTAGCGGCCCTTAATTGTCTAATCATTTGCTCGATAACTGAGCTGCTGAAGCCCAGTGCATAGCCAAGGTGGTCTGTTAGCCTATATCAGTTACAAGACTGACGAAAGGCACACACATATAGCTAGCTTTGCCAGTCCATAATCAGTACGGTCAGTACGACTATCGTCGAGTCGAAGTATATCACTTCTAATACTAATGTAGGCTTAACACTCCGGAATCTTCAGTGCAAGCCCGAGCCATTTGCAGATAGATGTACGAAATTTAATATAATAGAGTGCAATATACTACAGTTACTACACTGTACCAAAAATATCAAAAAAAAGCCCCATCTAGATAAAGAAAAGAGACGAATGGAAAGCAAATGTAACCCGAAAACCTAGAACAGGAACTTAAATTGGCGAACCAGAAAAGGATGTCACACGTATGGGCGGGTGGTATGTCTGTCGGCCAACACTAAAATATACCGATTGGTCAGCGAGCAGCACCGAACTTACGAAAAGGTGAAACAGCTTAGTGGCAAAACCGATGACGTGTTTTTTCGTAATTTTTTTCACTCCAGCAGTTCAGAGAAGTTTATTCGGATAGTATACTGAACCGATGTCCTGTAGCAATACAATCATGGCACAGCAAGTATGTATCCATTTACAGTTCTGGTTCTTAGGTATGTTTATTAGTGCGCCGTTGATGATGGCCATAATACAATTCAGAAGGTATATGCACTAATAAAAGCTTTTAGTACAGTTGACAATGGTGAGATGCCACACGTACAAAAATAAATACAATGCAAAAGGGGTGCAAGTCAAAAGAGGAGAATTCCTTGGTGAAAGTCCGGATGGCGGGAACGTGTTTTCTCCGCAGTATGGCTGCCACACGTAATCCATGATTGTCCGTGGACTTGTGGAGAGCGGTTGACTACCTGCTTCCTGCGCGCGGGCGAGTCTGTGTGCTGACTGTGTTCGGTTTCCCTATATGCGTTTACGTGGGTGTGCCAGCACATGAGTTGTTGCTACGCTCGCTGGACGGTACAGACAATCGATGTCCGATGAGTCACCTTAGTATGACCTGTTTGTGAGTATAAAAAAAGGGAAGTCAGTGGGCGATTGTGAGCTGAAGATTCACGTATGTGGGTGACTGGGTAGCTACATGCTCACCTTATCGAAACCACGGTGTTTTAGCCGTCATGCCACTCCGCAGCGCTTTCCACACCAGTAGAGTCTAGGACCTACTTCGGTGTTGGTGCTGCTTGGCTTTTCTGGGCGGGGTAAGGGTATGTAATGATCATAGCCATTTGGGTGTCCCCACTGACGCTAACTACAATGAGCGGGACTGCGCATATGAAGCTGTTTATATGAAAATGACATGCGCCAAGTCCCGGAAATGACGCACCAACAGCTCTAGATGGAAAACGAGCCATGTGATGACGTCGACTAGACAAGCCAGTTCACCCATTTACAGCCCGACTAGTCGCAACAGCTGAAACAAGAACGCCATTCCATGTAAGCGAAAACGATCAATTTTCAATCGACCCGAAACGCTAACGCAAACGCAAACTACTCGCGACAGCGTTTCAGAAGAAGCTTATAAAAGTATGCTCCGAAATGAGGATATCATTGAGTATTCCCAAAAAAAGGCCGGCGAAATGTTTAAACAATTTCATTTCGCAGACTCTCCCTTTTCATCTTTCATTCCACAAACCATGGAAATGAAGGAAATATCAACACTGACTGCAAAAGTTCAGCGTATTTTATCATAGGCGCAACGGTTGTTTCCTAGACTACATTTTCACTTGGGTGGCCAAAGAATACGTAACGATTAACGCTGCAGCTGAGACAAAGCTGTTTGCATTTATCATACAACGAAAATGACATGCTATCCACTGTCTCTTGTTCACGCCCCATACTCAAAGTGTGCCTCAGTAGCAACACAGACCAAATGCCTGGTTCAACCTTGTGTACTCCGAGTACCGACGTTCGGCTAATCTTGTCAATAACAGCTGTCCCAAACACGTGACCCGCCACACATCTGTCTAGTGGATTAGCAGTTGACCTCTCCGAGCATCACTTGTAGGCCCCTTGGGTACCTTCCACAATGGATCCGACCTCCGCGTTGTCCTGGTATGCAAAGCATGCGTAAAATGACAAAGTATCGGAGTTAGGAAACCCAGGATTGCGAATTACACGTAGTACGAGGGAAAGGACCATACCTTGAAGTGGGCTAGCATCCAGATTATCCAGCTTTCTGGATGCGCATCATTGTAGCGACGGGTACGGACCACGGTGGTTGAGTTGGTAGAACGCCAGTCTGGCAATTGGGAGGTATATGGTTCTAGTCTACCTCAGACTTGTTCTTTTCGTTCGTACTGTATGTACATTTCGAAACCCTCAGCACGTTGAGTTCTGGCTTTGAGTAAGCGCTAGGAAGCATACACAAATAGACAAAAAGGTTTCTGTTCTCATAGCGATCTCTTTGTAGTGAATGCTACAATTAGGCTAACTTATATCTGGGTGGCGAACAAGACAAGCCTTTATACAGCTGTGGCTGTCGTAATGTTCCTACCTTCTCGTAGAAAAAACAGCAGAAACAAAAGTTTTGCGGTCGAACACGAAGTTCAACATCAGTCCAACATCTCGAATAGAAGCAAAACTATATCTTGTGTAAAGTTCATCGTGAGTCTTCAAACTCAAATTACTTTATCGCAATCGACAGCTACACCGAAACTCAAAAAGAAGTTAACTTGGGTAGCGTTGACCGCTGGTACTACCCATGATCTTTCAAAGATTCCAGATAGTACCACCATTCTTGTTAGCACTAGTCCAAGCATCCCAACATCTCTTTTCTCGCCCACTCGTTGGACACATTTGATGCTCCATTAACTACTGATCCCAAGCCATTAGGTCAGTTATTCAAACCATTCCCCAGAAATCTGAGACTGATTCCATTCTTTTGACCTCCATTATGGTGATCATGGGCTAGTTAAAGATGTGCAGAACTGACCTGACAGTGGAATCGATCTTACCGTCACTCCTCAGCTGGAATAATGATGAGCAGTGAACAGTATGTGGCGGTCTCCAGCTACCCATTTTGCTAGCACATTTCGGACAAGTACATCACGTTTAGGTAGTTTCAGACTGCTCGGATTCCCAACGGCATTCAGTCGTACATTAATACACAGGGCACTTGGAGGCCGAACAAGGATGCAGATGTCACGATTTAGCCGTCCAACATGCTGGATCGTCGTCTGGGAATCAAATATCGAATCGAGTCCAAACTGACTTTGAAAGCTGAATTTATGAAAGCCTATGAACTGGGAGAACTAACGTGATAGTTTGACATTATTCAAAGGTAGGCGGCACATCAAAATTGATCAGCGGGTAGATATGCTATTGAAGAGATTTACACAAATAACGTCACTTGAAAACGGTGAACAAGACAATTGTCCTCAAGGGAGACAATTTCTATCATCTTCATCATGTACTCTCATCCCCCACTTTCATTCAGAAACCGCTAACTTTCGGTGAGGTATTCATCCGATGTATTTCTTGTTGGCAAATCCTCTGTCTTGGACTGTACCGAATGGAATCTCGTGGTTTCCGATATGTGCTTGCCAATCCGGATCCAAAAACAATACTCTACACGCAAGATATGGTAAGGCCATTTCGACAAGTATTTTCCCCGAAGCCTGACATTCTAGTTGTTTCGATGAGTTACGAATCAAATGTACCACTGAAACAATTACCATACTGTCGATATGCCACGATGATGCCGACGGGCTTGTAAATGCTACTATCGTGAGGCAGCTACAGGGGATCCAGTGCGGTAGTTTATCGGGACGCGCAAATTTGGGAAATTGAGACATTGGATTACCGAATGGGTTGGAGAGGCGTGAGGAATTACGCCAAGAGGTTTGAAGATGTTTTAAAAGGGAAGGAAAAATAGTTGATTGTCTAGGAAGACTAGCGACATGAGGACAAACATCCTGGACCGGATTGGCACGCATGCCTTTCAATATACCTGTTTCTGTTCATTTGTCAGCTCCCTTTCTTGCTTTATTTTGTTACTTTCATGATACTGACAGAACGGACGAAGGTGGAAATGAAGTAGGGAACCCTCGATCATTGCTGAACTAACCAGGACACGGTTTCATATAACCGTTACACACCTGGACTTCACATGAGATCCACCATAAGTTCATACAATGGGTTAGCAAAAGGAGGCTGTTAGCACTTCCGGTTCACTAAGTAGAGCCATGGAGAATCACCTGCGGAGTTCATGTGCACAGGTGGAATGGGATGTTCCCGGCGGCTCAGCAAGCTAAGCACCGGGAAGAGAGAAGTCTCTGGTTGGATACTTTCCTTAGGTGCATAATTTTGTCCATACTCTACGTATTCGAATGTTTCCTATCGTACTCACGTTTACTTCCCAAAGTGCAGATCACATTTCTGATAGTCCACCTTCCATACTGTCAAAATTACCATTCGACACGACAAGCATCACCAATCGGCCATGGTTCGCTTCCAGTCAGTATCCCTAGTGGGACACGTGGGACACAACAGGATCGTAGCTGACCATTGACATCCAATGAAAATTAATCAGCAATTAACACCCAGGTGTAGATTCGCGTTAAAAACGTCAAGAGATCTGGAGACCTGCTTCAGTACACATTACCATAACTGCGTGAACACCTAGTTCTAAAATAATAATATCCGTTCAGATGTAGCACTCTTTCGTTGCCTAGCTGCCATGACACCTGACGGAAGCACGAGGTGGGATACTAGATAGGAGCAGTCGAGATGTACAAGTTGGGTTCGAAATACGGACGTTCCGGTCAGTAACTTCGCGCCTTAACGAGTGAGCCATCTAGGGTCCACCTAAGTAGAAGCTGTCATAAATGTATAGAATACGCTACTCATAAGGTTGCTGAAAACTTCGACAACCCACTACCAGTTTCACCTTTCTTGGGGCTCATAAAGTAGGCGCAGTACCTGAGTTTCCGTTAACCTTATGTTCTACTCGAACCCAAATTTTACGAAATTAGCAAAGTACAATCATTTGCATACCAATTTGGTTTTGACGGGAGACTCACGTGGAAGCCAGTTTAAAAACATCATAAACGAGAGACAGCTGGGTCCCAGATGAGTTTCCCGTCAAAACCGAACCGGCATGCAAATGAGTGTATTTTGTTGTCATAATTGTATTATATGTTCAGAAAACTTCTAAGGTGAGCAATAGAATCTCTAATTGTGGTTGATTTCTTTCCTATAATCGTGCCTCCTGTACAGTTCTATTGTTTCATGAAAATGGATCAAAAGGACACGCCGGGGTCATGGCAGTTTGGACAAACGCACGTGCCAATATCCAGACCTTCACCCTGAATCCAGCTCCGTTGGGAGAATTTGAGGCCGATTGAAAACACCGAAACTTGTTGAATGACACTCACAACCAGCATTTGTAAATTATCATCGTCCATTGTAATCACATCGAAACATGGGAGACTAGATTGTGGAATTTTGTAGAATATACTGATTACCACTCACGCAGAAATATAGATCATGAAACCAAATTCACTTTTGTTCCAGGAAAATTCAGTTAGAATGAATAAAAGTCAGCAGATTGTATGACGAAACATTAGCTACCAAACAAGCTAAGCTGCTGAAAAAGAACTCACCACAGACAAGCACGTTAAATACTGTTAAAGCATGACGTCTGAAGTTTGCCTTCCAATCTAAATACATTCCAATCCACCAATAGCGGACTGCAGGTGCACGAATATCATCAATAAATTTTCTGAGGGAGCTACGCTTCCAGGCATCCCACATCATGAAGAGTCACAGGGCTCCATATACTCTGCTGAACCTGTCACGAAGAGACTGGACCTACCGTGGTGTGACTGTTAGCGCACCTCAGCGATCCATTGAGCTACACTGGGGAGTGTCCCCGTGACACTCATACAGTCTCTCTCTCATACCAGGTTGGTCAATAGTTAGAGGTCTGACAGGTTGGGGGGGTTGGAACATGCGGCGACTTGTTCCGTAGAAATGGCAATGCACTTGCATTTTCTGCCAAACACCACTGCCTTGCGGTTAGGCTTTTGAGCCAAAGCCTTTGGTTGAGGACCCTAATCGTCCTCCTGTCTAGATATGGGCGCCCTGGCAGTATCGTGGCTCTCGTACAACCTACGGCAGTAAAGCATCGGTGTTGAACACTGATGTCATGCTGTCGATGACGATGAACCGCATTACAAGACTCTCGTGGAACGAGCCTACGACGAAGTTTAAAAAAGCACTAGCCGAAAGAGTAGAAACTGCACGGAGTTGTAGGCGGAGGGTATCCCGTGATCTAGGGAAGCGGTGTGGATGATAATATAGGGACAAAAATAGCCTAGTTATTGCTAACAGGAATATAGGAACCTAACCTGTTAACATGCCAAGGTCAGTCATCATGGAAGCGTAGCCGCCGCAGTGACGAGCTGTAAGGGTTAGGCGGTGAATTATCGTTGGCCACGCATGCATCAGTACATCTTTCAGCCAAAAGCAGGATTTTTTGCAGAAGAGCCGTCGCACTGGATCGGATGAACCAACTTTTAAATTCCAAATAAGGAGGTACGGCTTCTGGCAGTTCTGAAAACAAGCTTCTGATGTTTGAGCAAAAGAATTCAGGCATTAGTAATTTCTACATATCCGACTGTCCTCTGGTGCTTAGGCTGTCATGATAATCACGGTGACAGTGGCAAGTTGATGCATCCGCACGGTAAAGACATCTCGAGCTAAAGCTATTTTCTTGTCTTCGGGTAGTGGTCAACTTACCTTAGTTACCTTCATCGCGCACTTTTGTGTCGTATTAATAGACATCCAGGGGGAATCGAATAACGAAAATAGGGATAATATGACACCCTCAAACTGGGTGTCAAGGGTGCTGAGGGAACAGTGGCCACCACCGTTAGCCGACCAAGACAAGCCAATTCCCATGGGGAGAGAACTACTGCATAGCCTAGCTGTCGGATACAATCCGAACCTTTAAACACGATGTGAACCTCCTGAATCCGTACTGAACTCCACCAAGTGTAAGGATACACCATACTCATGGCGGTTATTCAGGGCATGCGTTGGATTGGTACACAGAGCCGATTTGCAGAGGGTTTTTCCGACTCACTTGATGAAGATGGATGTCTATCCGGGGCCAAAGAAGACTCAACATACCTGGATGGTCCTTCACATGGTCACCTCACATTATAGGAGAATAATCTTTTTCAAAGTTCGACGGATTCAAATGTGAACTCTAAGTGTACCAATAGGATGTCACAGTCGACATTTTGGTGATTACGCTGTGTGACATTCTATGGTCAAAATGGCTTCACGCCCAAGTGATTTTCGGTCTCATCCGGTGCTAGAAATATCCAGTGTGCGCCTTCTTAGGCCTAACTCACTCTACTTTAGCAGCCCAGTGTGAACAGGTCATTCAAGGCAATACAGCCAAACAAGTAGTATATTCCCAAGCAAGGAGTTTGCAGCCTGTTTGCAAGATCCACTTGAGCCGTAAGAGCTCTTCTGTAGACTTCTATCAAAAATGTATCGCGAAGTCATCACAATGGATATTTCGGATGACTGAAAAGTTGCACTACGAGTCGTTTCACTCCGATCACGATTCACGGCTGACAAAGTTCACGGAAACACACTGTGCTTGGTCAAAACACAATCTCACAGATGACCACGTTGTCAAGAATCGATCAGATGTGATAGCCACAAACCAAATGTTAGAGCGCGGAATATCCATCACAAAAAGTGTATAGGCATCTATAACACCGGATGACTATCCAAGTGAGTTTTGCCACCGTTTTGCTTCGATCAATTTACGTAGGTGACAAACATAGTTAACATGATGAACGTTGGACATTTGAGGGTAAAGCTGCCTCAGTCTAGGCTTTTTGATCTGATTGACAACTTGTATGAAATAAAATAGGTTGGCTTCGACCAAGCTTTGGGAGAAAGGAAAAACGAAGTTATGGGAGATGATTTTTCACTCAGAAGTATGTACAGGCTGGTCGATACACTGACAGTCTCAAATGTGTGCAGTTTTGCGTCGTTTGTGCCTCTGGTCACGTGAAGGCTGATCTAGGTCACCTGAAGCGGGAGAAATGGTACACGAAAACAAAGATGAGTTGTCATGAGGTTAAAACTTCGGTTGTTGAGACTGGGCAGAACATGAATTCTACAAAAGTGATTTGCTCTATGCCTACGATGAGCCCCATTCAGGGCGAAACGCGAATAAGAATACAAACCTTATACAACTTCTGATTAGGTACTGGGTAAGGCAAACAAAGCACCAAACGAAATATTAAGGTAAGCCATAATTATTGAGCTGTGCCTTTTATTTAGACTATCGTACCGTTTCCCGAAGAGATTATAGCCACAAGGAAGCTACTTCCCTCTATACAAGCCAAAGAAGCATTGAAGTGACACAAGCTTCCAAATCTCTCTCCCAAAAAATGTCCTGAGTTAAATCACCAAGTAGGTAGAATTATATTTTGCAGAACTGCACACGATCAATGAATGCTTTGGATAGCGCAAAGACTAAAACAGGGATGAATTTCGGGTAACTGTGGAATTGTGGTGGTAACTGAACTACCTAAGCGTAGCAAAATAGGTTCGCAGCGAACGAATCAGAGTAGGTCGCCTAATTGAGCAATTCAACGAAGGCTGAACGTGAAACTCAAAATAACGTCAAACTGTGTAGTAATTCACAAATAGAGCGCACCAAACACCAATAAGTTATGGCCGTCAACTGGCCTTAGTTTCAAAGGAGAGTATAGGCACCAGACTGACAAATTCGCGACCAATGCCAGTGTTTAGCTAAAAGCCATGCTGTGAAAACAGTAGCGAAAGGGGATGGCATTTAGTGGTGACCAGCCACAATTCTACATCTCTAAATACTACGTGAACAAAAAACAGGATCAGTGAAAGACTTGTAACTACGTAATGAAGTGCATGAGCTACGAAAAAAAATCACGCGGATCCATCGTGTAAAACAATTCTGTAATAACCTCCATAGCTACCGATTCCTCATTGGATTCAAATACTTCCTACCTTAGATATAGCGTATAAATTATGAGCAATCCATAACAGGTTACGGTGTTAAATCATTGACCATTTGGCTTCAAACTGGATGCCGACGCCATCCTGATAACCCGTACACAAAAGAATCTTTAAGTATTTTCGTCCGGTATCATGTTTCGCAGATCAGATTCTGGAGAGCTCGCTGTAGAGTCCCATATAGTCACGTTGTCTTCTGGTACAGAAAACACGTTACAGCTAAAACGTCTTAGAGAGACGCACTCTGGGCAAGCATGCTCAGAGGAATGGGCCCGTCAGTACCGTTGAGAGCATTATTGAAACAACAAACAAAATATTGGATAAACTACACATATTGTTGTTCCGATTATGTAAGTATTCGGTCCACGCAAATCCTGTCAAGCCTCAAATCCTACCGTGTCGATTCGGTGAGGCAGAAATGCCCCTGGAAGTCTTGAGAGAGCCTGATGCAAGCTGATATTCAGTGATTGCTGCGTTCATTACAGGTTTAATTTTTGAAACCAAGTAGGATTACAGGTCTATTGCAGTTATTGAAAGTAACATCCTTTTCCGAAAGAGATGCAAACAAATCAGGCAAGCATCGGCTGGAAACTTTGTGATCAAAGATAATCGTTCAGCTGTAGCACTCTTTCGGTGCCTAGCTGCCAAGAAAACGGAAGAAGGCACGAGGGCTGGGATACTGCCAGGTTGCCCAAGCTTAGATAGGAGCAGTAGAAATGCCAAGGTTGGGTTCGAACAACTGACCTTCCGGTCCGTAAGCCGGCGCCTTAACAACTGGACGATGTTGACCTTTGTTCCAACCCTTGAACAGAGGGGGGGATTATTGGGATGAGTTGCTCATTGTGCCCAAACAAGATACAAACTTATACCACCGATATCGACAGTGAGTCATGTTCACAGTTGGAGGTTTGATGGTAGTTGAATAAATTCGAACAAGCAACTGCGAGCAGGCGGTTGAATTTATTGCTCAAAGTGTTTGACCTTGAGACCAAGGCACCCTTCTACCAACGCCTTTTCATGGCTCCTAGCACAAAATTCCAATGATCACTTGCATAGAGTGGCTCAAACGAGTTTCGAATGTTTTTGACGTAATAGACCACTCAAAAGTCACTGAAGACCGTTCGGCAGTTCATTACTGGTTTCTACTTTCCTAAGCTTCACCAGGCAGGTGTGGTTCACGAGTGTCCATCCGCCTTACGTTTGGTCTGGAAAACAAATTAAGTGCAATCTGGAGTAGCATGTTGTGCCGAGAAAATCTAGAATATCGTACCAGCTGAAACCTGAGGCGGCCTTTGTACACCACATTCGGTTGAGTATCACAAACGAGAGGTTCATCCGGGTATATTCCGACAACCGAGTTTCTAACTTTTTCAGCGTTCGTAACGCCGTCCAGTTACTCGAATTCCCATGGAAATGATAATCCAGGAAGTTTATTTATGCTGACCACCGGCGGAGGTATTCCTCTGAAAATCAGGTAACGTTACCATCTTGTCTGGTGATTGCACAACGTTGTGGGTATACCTCAAGCTATGAAGACTGCACTCCAATAGATGACGGACAGTCGAGAAACAACACTGCTATCACTCAAACATATTGTCCTGGTAGAAAAATGGCAACTAACATCTCGCTGGTATCCGACGGGAGCGAGATGGACCAAGTGGTTAGAACGCGGATTTACTGACCGGAAGGTCCGTGGTTCGAACCCGACTTCTCCCCCTCGACTCCTCTGTCTAGGCTTGGACAGGCTGGCAGTATCCCAGCCCTCGTGCTTCCTTCTGGTGGCATGGCAGCTACAGCTGAACGATTTTTTTTAAATTGGTAGCCGATTAAGGCCAAACAAAATCGCACAAATGGTTCAGGCTTCAGTAACAACATGGCTACTTAAACAACTTTGCGCCGTTTATGCGTCTGCGGAAGATGAAAAGGAAAACAACGGAGTCCACAGGCCTTTCAGAAGACATAATGATGGACCAATTGCCACCACTGATAACCGATTGCGGTATTTATCCATGACCTCGACATATCCTTGCTGACGGTTGCAGGTAGCTGGATGGGTTCGGGTGTTTCGAAAAATGCTTGTGCAAGGAAAAGGCTTGTGGCAAGCACACAAATTCATCAGGCGTTAACCAATAGGTCCAGGACGGTTATCAAACGGGGTCTCACTTGGGGTTCACCAATTTGTACATCCATAGGCCCAGCAACTAAAACCGTATTCGACGTCTTGTTTACAACAACGGGGTACTTAAAGGATCCTGAACTAATCACAATTGGTCTCAGCAACACGTCAAGGGTGGATGGAATCCTAAACTAACATATTTTCAACTGAAATTTCGTCGTCCAAATGAAGCCAATGTGTTCTGAAAATCAAGGAAGCACTCACTGGATAGCTGTTTTTTCCTTATTGGAAATCATCGGCAGTCTGCATCTCACGGAACTTCAGAAGGTCATACCCCTAAACAAAATTTAGCGCCGCCCATCATTCATTTACAGCAACCAAATCACCTGGTCGGATATTGACTGTATTTTCGGGTAACGACTTCTCAGATGAAGCCTTGATACCTTGTGGAGTTACTCTTTTGAGCTACTTATAGACCGGTAGTAGTATGAGATTTAGCAATTTCCAGTTGAGATTTCGTTCTGCATCAAAAGACGTATGGTAAAATATTAGTATGTTTATTGTTGTGACGAGTTACCCTGCAGGTTTAAAACAAGTGAAGTAGCCAAGATGCAGTAATCTTTACGTCATGACCCTAGTACAAAAGACTATAGACTCCCGTTAAGTACTGGAACAAAGAGGCACAAGCGACCGCATCACGATATACTTCGATATCTTCGGGATGGATGTAAAGGAAGCAGAGTAGCAATTACACACCAGGGTAAACATTTTAGAGAACATGTAAACAGGCAACCGCATGTGCCTGTTACGATAAACTAAAGCACTCACGGACACAAACCGCAGTGACATCACCTCAGGATGCAGAATTTTCACAACTCTTTGCATCACTGTAGTTCAAGGTGACGAGTGAATTTCTTCGAGAACCATGAGGCTCTCCAAGTATTCAAAGTAAGAATTCATGGCAGATAATTACTAGAGGGAAACCGAGCAACCGCTACGAACGAGTCTGTCAAATGAGTGTCAGTGCATTTTGTACGACAACCCGCGTATGGTTACGGTATGCACTTTCGGTGACGCGGTCCGGACGACCGGAGGGCTATTAAGCATGATGTCATCAATCGCTCTATGACGCATTGTGTGTTGTTGACTTGGGGGACATCGACACACTTGTCAACAATAATACAATACCATATAGCTAAGATCCAAGAACTTCCAAAAAACGTAGCAGAGATCCTTAATGGCTACTATTCGGCAAAGAATGATAAGTGCCGTTGATGGATTGATGCAAACACCATTCAACATACTGGTCCAAACACAGGTCAGTCAGTGTGCTATTCAGCGGAATAAATATGGCGGTCAGTATTACCGATTGTTAGTTTACGCAACAGATCAAAAGCATGAAACACTTACGGAAAGTGAGCCTTAGACCTCGCTTACGACTGGCTTTTGGTTCTGAGAGGGGCTGAAACCGGTTACCAGTAATCGAATGATCACGATTCTTCCGCAATGAGGTCGTCGGAGTCGATGGGGATTCACTACCAAGCAAAGCGGGCGTGACTGTGTTTTGTGTGGTGTTGAAACCACCGTAGCTTTGTCTGAATCCAGCAGGTACACCATATATTTCAAACAGGCTTTTGTCATGCGTTACTTTCGGCCTGAACCTCAGAATAGCAACCATCTTTTCCAGGTGATCTTTAACAACAGGAGGGAGGTTAAAAGGATACTCCTCTGGATTCGGAAGCAGGTCAGATTGTTGTTTAGGTGTAGCTTTTTCCTTTTCCACCAGGGTTCGACGCATGAAATTCATCTGAAGAAGATTCTTCGATATACCTAGCTCTGTGACATCCGTTTTGTGCATGATGGATTCACTTTGCAGAAACTATTGGAATTAGGACGCACGGACCACAATTGTACTGGAACAATGGCGAAGAAATTTAGGGTCGTCACCAGGAAAAGCATGTGCAACCAACATATTCATATAAACCCTGCATCAACCAACCGCTTGTAACCACGGAAGCCGATACAGCTAATGTGGCTATATAGATTAAACTGCTCATGAGTATAATATTGACAAATAGTGAATTAAGAATCTCCCAAAAATAGACGATAAACCGCTTGTTAGGTCATTCATTATAGAAAGGACGATAATTAATCGTCTTTGCTCATCTCACCTGCAGCGACCCAAGAGAATTACACTCCGTATCCGATGCGCCTAACAGCCGTTCCTTTTTTCTTGTGATGAACCACCCACCTAAATACTGACCCAATATGTTCAGTATACCGCTTTTCCGTCCAAAGCACTATTTTCATTTTTGATGACTTAAAAGCTCAAGCTCTTATATGAAATGATACTGATACTGACAGTAAGTTGGAAAGTGGGTACGAGACCTCACTGAAGATTTATGCTCATCACATTACCAAATTAGTGTTATGGTATCAGCATTATTGTTGGATCGTTGTATGGTTGCGAACAGACAGATAATGTGAAGTGTCCTCAAGTTCTTTCTCGTCCATGTCACATATAAGTTGCTGTTTTTGGATGGCGTCAACGGGTTAGTGACGAGGTAATTAGAAAACAAGTACTTGGTTGTACATCAGGCAGTGCAATCATGGAGAACATCCAGCACCATCAACTGCGGTGGCTCAGCCGAGTGAAAAGCATGCCGAAACACCGTTTATCGAGAAAAATGCCTCCTTCATAAACCATAAGGTGGACAACTTATGACTTGGCAGAAGGGATTGCGAAAAGTTTGGTTGTTGTTGGTGTTGTACACCTTCCAGGATAGTGTACCCGCGAAGCCTCCTGCGCTCGGCTAAAGATATCGCAAGAAATGGCGTTCATGCTGGCAGTTTCGTTCTAGAGTGTCTGATGGAACGCTTGGAGGTGCGGGCGCATCAGAATGCTTGACACATGCCAGCAAAAGATCCCCTTGTCCACCCACTCTTTTGCTCTTGTTTTCACCCTAGATCTTCAAATATAATTATATAAACTTGGTGGTTGTACTGCAGTGAAGCATCAGTGTCAACGATGTCAACGATGGAACTTACCGTGGTGTGAAGGTTTGCGCACTTCAGCGATCCATTGAGCTATACTGGGGGTATCCCGCGACACTCACGGTCTCTCAGGTTGGTCAGTGGTTAGAGGTCTGACGAACACGGTCTCCTAGACCTTCAGGTTGAGGGTTGGAACATGTGGCGACCAGTTCTGTAGAAATGGCAACGCATTTGCATTTCCTGCCAAACATCGCTGCCTTGCGGTTAGGCTTTTGAGCCAAAGGCTTTGGTTGAGGACCCTAATCGTCCTCCTGTCTAGGTTTGGCCATCCTCACAGTATCCCAACCCGCGTACAGCCATGAAATGCACATATACAAATAAACTCAAGCCATATCAGCCGTCGCATGGTGCCATCAGCTGGGTCGCCTTACTCGCTGCGTGCATCAGGGCGGGAAAGCGAAAACAGGCCACTGGTGAGGCTTCTTTCTTTCTTTTTCACACACTTTTTTGGTATTGTCCTAAGTAAACGGGCGGAAGTATCCTTGCTTGACTGGCTATCTGTTGATAGTCGCCTCTGCGCGGTTCGTCTGGCAACGTCTGTGAGGGGGTCTCACAAGCTGGAAGTTGATATATGTCTGTTTATCCTGTCTGCCTACGTCCCAACTGAGTGTAGATCCGACTCCGTCAAAGACAGGTTTCACGAAGCCCTGAATGCCCTGCTGTGGCGAGCCAAAAGCTCAGACATCGTGGTGGTTGCCGGAGATTCGGGTGCACAACTGGGCAGGCGTAGCGTATCTGAGACTCAATTAGGAGGTCGAAATGAATTTGACCCGGTATGTACGGACAATGGGAAACGATTGCTTCAGCTGTGTGCTGATCGCAGGCCGTTTTTGTGCAGTACTGACTTCAGAAACAGCCGAAGTCATCTGGCCACATGGTGTTCTCCAACGGCATGCTGGCCACAAATTCAAATCGATCATATTGCCATCAGTTACCGATAGTGCGGATCAATAGGTGACTGCCGGTCGTTCTGGAACACATTTGTGGATTCCGACGACGCGCTTGTCCGGAGTCGCCTCTTCCTACATTTTTCAGGGTCACGTAAGGTGCGGAAAATCGCTTGGCAACTGAAAGACTGGCGGATCCGGATGTCTCTTCCAAAGGTTCCACCATCAGATGTGAACTCATAGGTGGACGAGATTGCCACCTCTTTGCAAAGTGCTGGAAATTTCGCCTGTGGGACGGAAACGCCAGGTTCACTCAACCACTGGATATCACACCGAACGGTGTGGCATTGCATAAATCTCGAAGAAATATCCCAGTCGGCCCCGAAAATATCTTGATGCGAAGAATTATAAGACGTCGGGTGAAGGTGACCGTGCAAGCCGACCGTGAAGTGTGGTGGACACAGAAAATCAAAGAAATGGAAGAGACTCAGAAAGCCGGTAATGCCCGAAAATTATTTCAGTTGATCCGTTCGACCGGTCCCCGAAAACCACCTTTGAACGAAACAACTAAGGATCGGAATGGAGTGAACACCTCGAATACAGAACGGCTCGACGAATGGGCCGAAAACTCCGAAAAACACTTGTCATGGCCACAAGCTGGCACCCATTTGGATCCCATGGGCGACGTAGAATCCTGGACGGTTTATGACTGCATATGTTCTCTAACGTGCCATCGAGCCTCTCGACCGGATGATCTCCCACCCGCATTGTTCAAGAATAGTGTGAAGTCCTCAGTGAGCGCTTGTCTGATTTGTTTGATTGCATTTGGGAAAAGGAGTCTGTTCAGTCGGTGATAGTGCCCATTTTCAAAAAAGGGGGCTCGTAGTGAATGTAGCAACCACAGAGGGATAAGCTTGACCCCCGTCGTAACGAGACTGCTGGCATCACTGCTACTTCGTCGCCTTACGGTGGCTCGCGAGATGCGGACTCGAGAGGAGCAAGCGGGATTCCGGCCTGGTAGGGGTTGCGTTGACCAAATCTTCACACTGCGTCAGGCTCTAGAACAATGCCATACGTATAAGCAACCCACAATTCTAGTATTCCTGGATTTCCGAGGCACATTCGACTCGGTTGATCGGTCTGTTCTTCTTGAGACGCTTGCCCACCAATGAATGCCACGGAAGTTCGTAAACATCATAGGTTCTTTGTATTCTCAGACTTCCGGACGTGTGAGAGTATATGGAGCTCTCCAAAAGCTTCCGTACACAAAGTGGTGTCCGTCAGGGATGCCCACTCTCTCCATTTCTTTCTAACTTCGTGACCGATGAAATAATGAGGCGAACGCTGGAGGGTCTTCAAAACCCTGGTGTTCAAATAGCCTGTGAAGAAAACCTTGTCGATCTGGAACATACAGACGACATCGTTCTCATCTTCGAAGAAAAGGAAAAGATGCAAGTGCTTTTGGATGGACTAACCAAATTCATCCCGTCCTTTGGTATGCACTTTGCACCCACAAAGTGTAAGGTGATGCTCGTGCAGTTACTGAACACGCCACTTACAATCCAGGGAGAGGTACTGGAAGTTGTGGAGCGTTTCACTTATCTTGGGAGTTGTATTACTTCTGAGTGTAGTGTGACAGATGAGATCAACGCACGAATCTGCAAGGTTCGAGTCATGTTTGCTAATTTGATACACCTACGGCATCAAAGTGGTGTATCCCTAAACCTCAAGGGACGTGTGTATCAAGCTACAGCACGGGATTTTTGTTGTATCGCTGTGAGACTTGGCCTGTACGGGCAGCGGAACAGACGTCTTCAGGTGTTCGACAATCGTTCTCTCAGAACCATAGCTCGTGTGGGTTTGTGTCAGCGTATCCGTAACGAGGCAATTAGAAAGCGAGTTATCGGTTGTGCAGTAGGTACTTCCACTGAAGAATGTGTCCAGCATCAGAAACTGCGTTGTTTGGGACATATGGTGCGTATGCCTAACCATCGTTTGCCGAAAAGAGTGCTGTTTTCCATGCCCAATTCAGAGTGGCGGAAGCAGAGGGGCATAAAAAATACACGAAAAGTTTGGGTGCTGTTGGTACTACTCGCCTCGCCGGAAGGTCGAATGACAACAGTCCTCAGCTATCTACAACCGATCCTTTGTTCTTTGGAACCCTAGTAATCGTTGTTAGCCGCATGAAAACCCTAAATATTTATTTCGCAAAGTTGGTCGAACGAGTGTGTCCTTATAGGCCACGCAACAGATAACTTGAAAAACCCCTTCGATACTATCACTACCGTAATATTCTCCAGGCGAAATTACTATATCCAGTCACGATCTCTGCGTGATACACGCATTCACTGAACATAAATTTGAACATGCGCACAAGCACATTCTATTGTTTGGTGGGGATAGTAAGGCCACAACTACACAAAATACTACGTTTGTTTTCGCGAACCCGTTTGCTACATTGTGATACAGTTCACTGTCTTGCTTTGCAGCCTTCACGTCTCAGAATTACAAAGCAATCACCGGCATCGAGGTCTTCTAATTCATGCTAGACGCTCCAGTCTCACTAGACGACTGAGAACAGGAGTGTTGACCACGAACTAACACGAATTCTGGTTGCTTAGATGACTCAATATGGGGTTGGCGTCCTGGATAAGGCTTTTCCAGGATAGTCAGATCTCAAGGGGACCCAAATATTTAACATGCGGTAAGCGTTGAAAGCTTCCACCAATTTCGATATGATAACCTAACCGAGAAACTGTTCAATAGACGGACTATGAGTAAGTTTATACGAAGAAGCAACAGTGTAGGAAAGAGCACAGAACACTTGGGGAATCCAGGTATTGATTGATTTTGGTTCATATGGCCATTCAAACGTCCCATGAGTTTGGAAATTGTAGGTGGGTGGGTCCACCAGATCTGGAGATTTGGGTCTCATTAAGGAACAAAACAGAATTCTGACAAAAATCTATCACT